TAGCCAATGACAATGGAGACATAATCTTTTATATTCAATATTATAAGAACTCGAACGTATAGTTTGTTTTCTGTTTGCACTAGACAGTGAGTTTTTTCAAAGCTTTAAAAATTCTTACATTTTGGTCTTTTTTAACTAAAAATTCCCATGTTAAGAAGAAATCCCCACTTTTAATCACACTGCATGTAAGTGAGCGCGGTCATTGAGCGCTAAGCTACTCGGATGTATATCAATTGCACACAAGCCAATCACAGCGGTAGAAAAAAAGAAAATAAAAAAAGATTCCCTACGCAGAATTCGTTGTGATTGGTAATGAGTAATTGCAACAGTGTGCAGGTAAAGAGATTTTAGTCGGTCGAACACCTTGGGTAATGCTAATGCCGGTGATACTGTAACTTTCAAGCCTTATAACTCGAAAAGTACTTCATGAAAAACTATTTTATTATAGTGTTTTGGAAAGCTCTCGAGGTGTGCTACAAGAATATGCAATGAAAAATAGGGGGTTCCATTTAAAAAATTCAAAGTGATATTGCTCTGACTTTGGTGATGCACTTAAGGTGCCAGACTGATCAGATCACTCAAAGATCTGATCAATCAAAGATCATTTAGAACCCCAAAACTTTTTTTTTAATGCTCTATTTCCGAAATAAAAGAGATGTACGAGTGGTCTGAGACATTCTGTACATATATATATATATATATATATATATATATATATAGAGAGAGAGAGAGAGAAAAACTTTTAAAATCACTTGATAACTTTGATTCAAAAAACATTAGAGCTCCGTAACATATTCCTTATCCATTTCCGAATGGCTTCCTTTTTTCGCGAGAGTTATTCAATCCACCGCAAACACGTTAGTGCATGGAGAAAATACTCACAATCAGTACATTTTTTACTCCTACTGGGTAAGCTGATTACGAAGATGTACAGTGGGCACACGCCTCTAATACATCAAGCTGCAACCGATGATTTTCCCTCCGTCGAAAGTCAGGCTTCGGACTTTTTTTATCCAGCCTCTCTGCCCCGCGGAAAATTACAAGCGATACGATGCAGATGCACACAGACTCATGATATGTGTTTGATCTACGTGACTACTAACTATCCTGGGCATGTTGAAGTCCCCGTTATCAAAATAAAAAGTATCGACGACCGTCGGCGGCAATCGAATTTCAATTTATCACGTAGATGACACTTACATTACAGCATGTTTTTCTTTCATCCAACGATGAAAAGTCAAATTTCGATCGTCCATTAAAGTCGCCTTGTCACGATATTATATTACAGCGATATGGAAAATCGTACATAACGCTAGAAGAAAGTGAATGACGAAATTCTACCGCGATCTCGTTAACTTTACGGATAATTGTCGCATCGGACGGAAGTCTGGACGATTGGATTATGTCACGAAATCGCAATGTGGCTTCGCGCGGCAATCCGGATCGGTGCTTGGCGCTTAACGGCAGCCGCGCGATGATCGCGCATTTCAAGCACGTGCGCCTCGCCGGACAAATGGGATTAAGCCAGATGACGAAAGTGTCCGGCAAGTAATCGAGTGCCGCGTGCGCCGGCCGGTTGAAATTCCACGATGACGCGGCGGAGGGAAAAATAGCCGGGGGAGACAAGGACGGAGAACGAATGAGGAAACGACATTGTTCCATAAAATATTGCAAGATTTATCACAGCTCGTCGGTCGGAATTTAGATGACGCTAAATGTACGGCTTTGAATACTGAGAATCTGCAGTTTCCCAGTGTGCTCGGTGGAAAGAGTCCCGCCGTTTCTGGCCCGATGGTTCATAAAGTGATGAGCAAACGAAGCCGCCGGCCATAAGGAAAAGCAATCCCCGGCAGTTTTCATCGGAGGAGGAAGAAGTGTGGCGAGACAGTTCGAACCGAGGAGGAAAGCCACGCTCGTTGTATTCGCCAACGAGGGAAAACATACGGACGATAACACCGCGTGACTTCTCATTCGCTTCGCGCGAACGGTCCGCTATTTGATCTGTATGCCCGCCTAGCGCTTTTTGCCGCCGAGGCGGTCAATAATAAATGTCCGGCGACGCTTCTTTATCGCTGCGCGGAACGAGCCAACGTTTCTTGCGCGCGTGGTCCGAGCGTTTAAAACGCGGAACTAATTCATCGCGGGAGACGTCTGGCCGGCGATGGAGCCGTGTCTTTTTTTCTACAATTCCCCGCGCTCTCTCCGCGCATCCGGGGATTTTACGCCGCGTGAGAGTTACGTTACGTCGCGGTGGTACGTGGCGAATTCGTGGGCGTGGAGTAACGTTTTCCCGACTCAATTTACTGTTAGTACCGCGCGATGCATATGTAGCCAATCTCGCGTCCCCTTTAAGTGCGAATTTATGACGCGGCCGACGACGAGTTTGTATCCGCGTTTGCGTACGCGCACACTCCACTCGGTTCAAAGTGTCCTCGACCTCCTCGTCGAATAATGAGCGGCTCGTTCGTCCTTAAAAAGGAGAGGAGACTGTGATACCTAGAGACATATTGTACCTTGAGTCACACTAATTATTTCCTTTAACGAGATATTTTTAATGTTAGCAGCTCAGTTATATTACTTCAATTAAAAAGTAATATAACTGAGCAGCCAACATTAAAGATCTCGTTATTGTTAAAAAAACAATTAATGTATTTCAAGGTACATGTTTCTAGGTACTATAATCTTCCCTACCATCTTTGCCATACAGGAAACTGTGGTACCTAGGAAAATGTTGTACTTGGGGACATACTAATAATTTTTTTAATAATGAAATTTTTTATGTTGGCAATTCAGTTATATATTATTTCAATTGAAAAGTAACATAACTGAATAGCCAACATTTTGTTACTGTTAAAAATAATTAATATATCCCAAGATACAACATGATTTTAATCTTGAAATAATATCTTAAGATGCTAATACGATTCTCTTCTGTCTCACGTGACCGTGATAACCTGATGTTAAGAATTTCAGTTTCAAAACTATATTAAGCATTTCAATCTTAAAACTACCTTTCATACCTATGCGTACGATTATCGAGAAGGAAAAGCGCAAAAAGAAGATCCGAATAACGAAAACGAAAGTGAAAAGTAGCGGCAAATTGAAATTATTCAAAGTCACTTTAAAGTCGACGTAAAATCTGGATAGAAGTTAAGAAACATTTATCAATATACCTTAAACTCCCGCGTATCGTGAATCATCGATTCCGCCCGAAGCGGAATAATTTATTCGTGCGTAAAAGTTACCAGCAACATTTCTTTCGCATGACTCGACCGTTGTCAAGCAAAAAAATATATGACGAAATTTTGTTAGTTGTGACGTCATTCGGAGAACATGTTTCCTTCGCGGATTTTACGATTTGTAATCGGGTAGGGGTTTGTAATCGGGCCGCGCGACGTGTAATTGCCTTGTGACGTTTCATTGACGAGATAGCAAGAGGCGAAACGCGCGTTAAATGCCAACTCTCGATCGGAGCTCCCAGCTCCGCATTTAACATGACTCATAACCGCCACGTATCGTCTCGCCAACGACATTTTCATTAAAATACAAAGTGCGTTTATTAGAAGCCAGTTAGCGGCGAGTCGAGCGCGACACTGTCGTGCGCGACGCCAATTTCACGTCTCGTGCTTGAAGAGAAGTATGAGGACGAAGGAGTTGAGACGACAGGAGAAGCGTATGAGGGAGGCAAAGAGAAGTGAAAGAAATGCCGAGATATATTGAATAGCTTCTCGCGGGCGCGAAAGAACCAGGCATCGTTAGCTGACGGTTCTCTCTTCAAGCTGTCGAGCCACCATCGAACCTAAACATTTCCCGCTTCACCTCCCGTCCGTTCGATCTATTAGGTCCGCATTACCGCGCTTTATTGCCTCATAATTTCCATTTCCGATGCCAGAAACCAATATAAGTCGCGGAGGATAGTGCGCAAGCAGAGAAGCGACGGCCTCCGCGAGCTTCGCGACTTACTTCGCCACAAAGTGGTTTACGATTGAGACGAAACAGAAAACGAACGAGTCAGATTATTATTCGCATGACGGAGAAACTCTTCTTCTTTTTCACGAGAGAGAGAGAAAGAGAGAAAGAGAGAGGGGGGGGGGAGAGAATGAGCCTGCTTGTCTCTTTCGAGGGAGAGAGAAAGAGAAAAGGGAGGAAGGAAGAGAAGAGAGAGAAGCAAAGAGAAGCGTCATTTTTCTTACAGCTTCTCGCACGTCTACGCGATCGCCAACGCAAACGCGAGCGTGAGCTCGATGAAGTCTATAACCTGTTCCGATGATTCCAGTCGGATGATCTCCACAACCGTTACCGTTCTCTCTGCCGAGCATAATTTACGTTCTACGCGCTGTTGACTATCATACGAGGGACATAAGCTATTAAAAGAAAGGCTACGTTAATACTAATTTAAATAATAATGTTAAAAATTGAGAGACGTCCAAAAAACATCGGAAGGATGTCTAGAAAATATACACGTAACGAACGATTTTGTCAAAACAATCTAAAAATTTATCTAGAAATTTATCTATCTGAAAATAATTGAACCGTTCGAAGTATTTATGCAGAAAACTCAACAACGATAAGCAAAGCTACAAAAAATTTCGACATTCTATTGGCAACCTTGATCATACATAATTAATAGTTCAATAAAATTATTTTCAGATTTATATTTAGCTAAATTTTTAGATATTTTAAAAATCATTCTTTCCATATTTACACTAGGAAAAAGCAATAAATCTTTTTCTTAATGTATGTTTGCAATTTTTATAATTTTTTAGTAGTTTCCGGTTTATTCTAATCGATAGATTGCGAATCGAGAATTTTTTTCATATTAAATTTATATATATTAAATTTATTGAATCCCTGTGAGAAATTACGGTTTTTGCTTTTCAGAATATTAATCCTTCTTGAGAAGCAATAACATCGAAGATCCGACTGGTTGCAATTTCCTTGATATAACCGAGCACAATAATCGTTTCGCATCAAATAACCGATCTAAGGAAAATTCTCACCTGGATAACCCTCCGGGATGACAATCTCCGGTCCCACTTTGACGTCATGTCGATACCGATGCATCAGCAAGCTCGCTGTGACTCTCAAGGATCGCTGTTGCTGCTTGTACAGGAGCACCGGTCTACCGCCGGTACCTTCGAGTCTGACGACCCTTGGTAACGAAAATCGATCCAGAAACTCTCGTAGTGGCATGTATCCGCCGCTGGAACCGGAACCACCCTCGGCGGTGGCCTCTCTCGAACTTGGCAGAGATTTGGGCAGAGAAGGCATCTCCTCGCTGGACATCGTCGAGAATTCACCGTTCGACGACATGATCTCACACGTTTCGAAATAACGTTATCGCATAAACGATTCCGAAGAACATCAAAGTGAGCCGGTATGGTCGTCAGGATTAGAGAACTGAGGCTGATTCAAGCGAGACAGTCCTCTTCAGGGTGACGCCGCGGAGCTCGAGAGCTTAGCGTCATTTAATCCCTGTGATGCAAGTGAAGCGAGCACAACGCTTGCTTTCGAAGGCATCTTCACTCCCCGCTCGGCACCCGCTCATTACCGCTTAATAACGGGCTCGGATGCGCTGGCACTTTCTTCTTCAATTATATCACTCCGCCGCGGTCGCTCGGCGACCGTCACTTTCCGTCTCACGGCGCGATGATAGTGACATTAACCCTCTCTCAGCGCTGAGTTCTTTTCGATGATTTCGTGAGCGTCAGGCAATCTTCCGTGTAAAATTGCTGCGTGCGAAAAAGAAGAAGAAATCAAATTATACACGCGAAGGGCTTAACGACTTTGTTACTGTATACTTTACGTATATTTTCAGCGATAAAATCGATTCCCTTTATCGAATGGCGTAAAATTGATTTGTAGCGGACATTAAAGCGGTCTTGTTGATCTCTGCCCCGTTATAAACAATACATGAAACTCCGTTCACTAGCCACTAAACTGTTGCCCGGGGCAACAGCGCGCAGTGAGATTGAGGATCACGAAACACCTCGACGAAACACCGTGTCGAATAAACCGGTCGATCGTTCCTGCGAGTCGACGGCACTGTCGAAGTGAAGATCGCTGTCGGCGTCGATCCTCACGGATTTGCCACTTTCCGCGTTACACTTTTCACACACGCGGTGGATCATCTCCTCTCGCGGCTGATCGGGGCGGTAGCGCAAATGCGTTACGGTAAAACTATCACGATCTATCGATAATATCCTCGATGATAAACATCATTGCGAGAGCGGGCAAGCAGCGCATCTCTCCTTAGCGGCTCTTAGACTATTACGATCTATCGTATATCTATCGTAATCACTCGCGAATAAGGATGGTAGATCGTCTGTGCGTAAGGCCGTATCTTCTTACGGAGAAGCTATTAGGATCTATCAACGATATCCACGGTGGCGAACAAGAAGCGAACGAGATGAAGACCGTCTCTCCGCACGCGGAGAGCTCAGGTACTCTTCCGGATGTCCTGTTGCCGATGATGAACGACGAACGATCTTTTCTTCCGGGCTGTTTCGTTTTCGAGCGCCGAGGATAGATGGATCCGATAGGCGCGCGATCGAACGATGAATCCCGCTCGGTTTCCGAGTTGCACTCTTTCGCCCTCTTGCCCTCTATCTCCTGACGCAAAGGCAGTTATCTCCCATGGGGTTCGATCCCTGTGGCGTTTATGATTTACCGGTACAGTCGGCTTTCTTTCGCCGTTTCTTACGCGAGCCTTGCGAGATATATCTCGGACGCTTTTATTGCTTTATGCCGAGCTGTGCGGGCCGCGGGGTGCCTTCAGACGCCTCGATAACTGGGTCTGAGCTGCATCCTGGTAGCCTACGAACAGGACCTACCGTATCCCGCGAGGAAAGGAGAAGGTTGAAGAGAAAGAGAGAAGCTGAAAGAGATCCCGCGGGGATATCCTTCAGACACCTTGTCGGCCGAGGTCGTGCTGCATCGCGGTGGTCTGAAAACAGACGGATAGGCGATGGTCAGAGCGTTCTCCATCGTGATACTCTGCATAATCCAACCGCGAAAACGCTCGGAACCAGCGTACTCCGTCGACGAACATCGTTACATTTATTTAATTGCAGAACTGATCCCGATCGAAGCGACAGTATAATTGATAGTATGATGTTCTACGATAATATGCAATAAAGACAATCGTGCGTCTAATTCACGATATACGTAGGCGGACAAATTCGAATTCTACAGTTACGACCCATACAACACAAGTCCTTCCAGCAATATTAACATTTCAGCAACGTTCTAGCAATATTGGAGAAACATTACAAATGTTGCGAACTCCGTGCTGTATGGGAAATAAAATAGAATAAATTAAGAAAAAAAAACCACGCCAGACGAATCCTATCTTGGATATTTATCTTTAAAAATCTATCAATTGCGCGGATAGAGCACGGGTCGAAGAATGGACAAAGTAAAAAAATACCCAAAAGAGAGTACTGCAACTATCACCGCACATTCAGCGCCGGTTTCCTAGGCAACGAACGGTCCAATTTGCCTGACTATCTTCTGGCCCACGGAAGAACACGCGCACCTTTTGGAGAGGTTCCGATCGGATCGGCGGACGCGAAGTCACTGACGCCCGGCTCGAACTGAGTGGAGTGTAAGAGGTCCACCGGCATCAAGATAACCGTGTGCCACCACCCCTCTACCTAGCCTCGCTGTCAGTGCCAGCAATACTGGAGGCCTGAGCCTCGCCCGCGGAGTCCTTCGTACGCCAGTTAACAGAATACGAGCGGCTCGTTCGACCTACGTGGACGTGGGTTTATTCAATATGGGTCCTATTGTTGCTCGCTGAAAGGAGCTGTTACCCCACAGGAGCGTGCGCACCGCCCTCGATACTCTCTTCCTGCCTAGGAGCCTGTAATAATCGCCCATGGTAGCCGAGTCAGTCTCTGGTGTATGCACAGCAACGACGAGGCACGAGGAGCTGACAATTGCGGCGTGCTGAGATTAAATGGCAGCTGATCAGATCGTGGCTGGGATCAGAAGCTACCTCCCGAGAGGTGCGCAGATCAATCTCAGCGAGGAAGGATAGATCGAGGCGAGCTCGCTAGATCGTTGAGCTTCGTTAGATTCGTCTCTGTTTAAGTTTATACGCCAATGCTCTATTTAAGTTTGTTTGCACTCTCTTTAACATCAGAAACAGACGCTTGAGTTTGCAATTTGAGTTTTTTTCCTCCGAGTTTCTTGAAAGTTAATTTTACTTTCAACGTTGAACATTTTGTTTTCTCCGACGCGGTCAATGGTCGCATTATTTATCGTGTTCGGAAATTCGAACCGCATCCTGACAGAAATGTATCCTTCGCAAAAATTGATGCGCGCTTTCGCAAAAAATAAACCATCTGTGACTAAAATGTTACCTGCGAATTCCTTATTCGGCTATAGGTACTTAAATAAAACGAGCCCAGTGCAGTCCCTATATTTGGTAACACTCGCATGAGATTCAGCAACGACGATATCGCGCGATAGCCTTCTTCTTGCGCACACTTCGAATTTATGTATCGTCTTGTATCTCAATGCGATTCGTTTGCACGCTTCGACATCGCGAATGAGATCATAAAAATTACGAACAAATCGTGGTTTCCGAGTGGGTGGAAAGTGGAATGACCTTGGGTTTAATTTTCGTTGAGTATATATTACCCATACGAAACGTCCGATACGTTACATCATTACGGGTTTCTTTCTCACGCATCGTACAATTCTTTTTATGGGAATCTTTCAGATAGCATACAATAAAGATGTTAAATGTCATAATATTCTCTAATCCATCAATTTAGAACGTGTGTACGCGCGAATAGAAAGGAATAGGAAGAAATAAATAAAGTAAGAGGTACAGAGATTAATCTTTGATTTGTAATCTTCGGTTAGCCAAATCTGTTGAAGACAAATTTCCTTGAAATACTTGCTAAGAATTTTGTTAACAAAAAGGCATCTTTAATACAAATTCTGTTATATTGAATAATACGAATAAATTGGTAGCAGATGTGTGTGTGTGTGTGTGTGTGTGTGTGTGTGTGTGACAAAATGCTTAGTCGACACATAAAAACAAATTGTCGGTAAAATTGTGCAAAACTTGTTGATAATAATCTAATAGCAAATTAACAAGAATTGAAAAATTCAAATCCAAAATTGATCATTACTCGATTTTTGTTGCTAATTTTCTTGTTTAATATCAAAATTTCTGAAGAAACTATAGAAATATTTTAAATTAAAAAGTTTTCAGTAAAAGTTTTTTACTCTGATCCTAAAAATTGTTTACTCACATATGCTTACTAACTTTTTGTACACATTATCAATCGAAATTTTTTTGCCCCCAACTCGTGGCTTGAAATAGCCTACAATAATTTCTATAAAATGGCTAGTTAACAAAAAATTAATCCAATTAATCCGAATAAATTGGATAATGTGTGCGTATTCGAGATCCGTGCAGCTTAATTACTTTTGAATATTGAGAATAAAAACATGTAACATTGAACACTGAAATTTATTGCTTTTAACAGTTTTTAATTCTAGTATGATATTGTTATTTTTGATTACCTTCCTTTTAACATCAGAGTTTGTGAAATCCTGCAACATTGTCGCTATATCTGAATATGAGGTATTTTTTAGCTCAAAACATGTGAAATTTATACTTCAAAGTCAAACAAAAACAGATAAATGTGTCAGAATCAAATAAATAATATTTTATTTTCAATTAATTACAATGCTTCAAAGAAATTTTGTAGGAAAAATTCGCAAAAAATGACTACTTTGGATAAAATTTCTCAAATTTTTAAATTTAATGTTTAAGCAAAAACCTGTATGATCTTTTTAGTTGATCCTTTGAACTAACAAAAAAAAAGAACGATATAAATCATTCAAAAAAGTATAATTATTTGAACTATCGAAAATTGACATTTTTGAAGAATCTATATATTATAAGTTTACAATTAATAAATAAAATTTTATTATTTGATATAAAAGAGTAATAATATAAGTAGATAAAGGATTGTACATGTATACATATTATTATAGTATAATTAAGTTTATTAGGATTTAATTTAGAGGATGATGCAACACTC